GACAGAGATTAAGGAAGCGATGAGGCACAGGTGATGTCGTGTTGCGCAGATTCAGAATTCTAGAACAAGAAGGAGCCTTGGGCGTCCTGCAGACAGTAGTTCTCAATTTCAGCAGCATGAATCACCCAGAAGCTTTTTGAACATACATACACAGGCAAACTCACCTCAACGTGTCGATATGCCATGCTAGCCTGGGACATGCAGGACGTGTGGCCCAGGCCCTGGCATTTTGTCAAAGCGCCCCAACAGTGATTCCATTGAACAGCTTGGGTTGAGACTTGCAGACCTAGTCCAACCCCCTTCTTTTATAGAGGAAACAGGCCCAGAGATGGGAAGTGACGGGCGCAAGGTTGCACAGCACATCAGAGAAAGACCGAAAGCCAGAACTGTCCTCTCCTCAGTCTCAGCCCAGGACTCGTCCTATAACGCCAACACTCCTCAAAGCTTAATTCACCTGTATCAGCATTACCTGTCATTAAAAACACAGACTCCCAGAGCTATGTCAGAATGATTCATTCGGAATCAGCATGGTTGCAAGCCAGGCTTCCTTAGTTCTCAGTTTCTACAACTCTTTCTACTTCGTGCGGGTATCCTGAGATTATACATTGCTTGGTGAACAGTGCACCTCACTGGCTGCCTCCTGTTACTATTAATGGGTGCTCACTAGGCAGATCCAGAGCCCCATTGCAACGCCACCCCCACTCCCCAAAGCCCTACATCCCCTCCTAGGGGACAGGCTAGAGTCCTCCCTCACCCTCAGTACCCATATCTAGATGAACATCAAAGTCTGCCTTTTAAACCTACGTGATGTCTTTCAGATGTATTACTATTCCTTCTACCCAAAATTCTATTCTTTACTCTTCACTTTTCAAAATCTTACTTATCCCTCACGGGCATCCTCAAATGCTACCACCTTCATGAAGTTTTCCCCGACAGATCCTCTCAACCGTCCGCCGATGATGGAGTTCCTTCCTTTCTCTCCAGACTTTCCCTGCAGACGCCTGCCATCTCGCCCGTGGACCCTTTCTGCCTTTGCCTGCTGTGGCTTTGAGCTTTGTGAGAATGGAAATTACTTTGGGCAAGTTCAGTTGAAGCAATGTGTGCATTACATCAAAACCCACTTAATAAATTCCTCCTTGAAATCAGTTCCAGGAAAAAATTTGCTCCAACAGATATGTTTGTTTATGTTCTTTTATCAGACAGTGAGAACCTCATATGGCTTTCCCCTTTTTACCTCAGCTACCAGGAAGCTTAGAGTTAAATTACTGTAACCACCTCCAGGTGCATGGAAACATCTGTTTTTCTACGTCTGTTAGCTGGTCTTTGTTCTTTTTTTTTCTTGAAAGCTCTGTAGGAGTGGGTGACTTCTACATGGTAAATAAATATAGTATTATAGCATGTTCTCCTTGATAAACTGAATATTCTGCAAAGGGATAATGACCTATGTTTGCAGAGGTTTCCTCTGACACCTAGGGTACTTCACGATCTTCCTCTTAGTATTACTCATATTGGTGATAAAGCAGAAGTGGTTGTTTTCTCCTCCCAATTATATAAACAAGAATCTCAGAGCTTAGAATTATAGAATGTTAGGATTAAAAATTCCTAATCTGGATCGACTTCCAGAATTATGGAGTAAAGACCTCCAAAAATCCACTCCCCCATAAAAGCAATAAGAACACTGGCAAAAATGGTGACAATTTTTTCAGGACTCTAGAAGTTAACTAAAGGTTTGCAACGATTTGAGGAGCGTCTATTCAAAAAAAAAAAAAAAAAGCTGAATCTTGTTAAGAATAGTGAGTTTTGTTGCATCTTAACTTGCTCTAGAGGCATCTCCTCTCCACAGCTCTGTGAAAACCTTAAAAACCAAAAGCTTCACGATCACAGTTACCAGGAAAACAAGCAGCCTAGCAGCCACCGGAAGAGGCACAATGAGTTCAGAATTCCCCCAGCACTCTATCCCCAGGGAATTGTCACTATTGACCTGTCTGGAAGTTCCCTAAAAGCCTCCACTCACAGGGCTTGTTTTAATTTAACCTGACTCAGAGCTCACTCTGTCTAGAATATCCTTTCCCCGGGGTGTTTGTCCACAAAGATCAGCAGCTATCGTTTAACATTGATGCTGCCCGAGGTGGTGAAAACATTTGGAGCAAAGAAGCAGCTGAAAAAAAAAAAACATAAAAGGAAAAGTTGGGGAATGAGATGCCCATAGGAGGACATCTTAAAAAGCTCCGGCATATTGCTGGAAATCTACAAGGCCATATGCAAGTGCAAAACTGTGTACATGCCCAGGAAATTTATAACAGACTGTTATAAATTAAGATGTTAATTATAATCCCCAGGATTAAGCACTATGACAAGAGCTGAAATAAACATAGTAAAAGAAATTACCAACTAGATATAAGAACAAAAGGAAATAGAAGACTTTAAGTATGAATCAATTAGACCCGACAGATATAGCTACAGAACACTACACAGAGTGGCAAAATACACATTCTTCTCAAGTGCATATGGAACATCCTCCAGAATAGACCATATGTTAGGCCTTTCTTAATAAATTTAGGCCTTGTCGACAAATTTAAAAGAAATGAAATGTGAACTATGTTCTCGCAATGGAAAGAAACCAGAAATTGGTAACAGAAGGAAATTTGAGAAATTCTCAAATATGTGAAAATTAAACACTACATTCCTAAATAACCAAGGGATCAACGAAAAAATCATAAGGAATATTAGAAAATACTTTGAGATGAATGAAAACAAAAATACAACATACCAAAATTGGAGTAAGTGGAGTAAAAGCAGTGTTCAGAGATAAATGTATAGCTGTAAGTATTTATATTAAAAAAGATCTCAAATTAATAACCTGACATTCCTTGTTAACACATTTGAAAAAGAAGAGTAAACCCAAAGCAAGCAGAAGAAAAATCATTATAAATATTTAATCAGAAATAAATGATATAGAGAATAGAAAAACAATAGAGAAAAATCAACAATCAAAAGTTGGTTCCTTTACAAACTCTTTCAAAAAATAGAAGAGGAGGAAACATTTCCCAACTCATTTTAAGGTCAGTATTATTACCTT